TACCAAGCACAGTACCTGAAAAAAAGCTGGCTTTTAGTAAATACCTGTGTGCTGGACAAAGAGCAATAAGTATGTGCTGCCATTTACCGAGCACGTCACACATGTGAAGCCCTTAACCCCATTATCTCATCTCCACACCACTACCATGAAGGGGATACCACCCCCTTTTGCCTGTGAGGAAGAAAAAACTTAGAAAGGTGAAGGAGTTTGCCCAAAGTCAACAACTAGTAAATTCAGATCGGCTTTCAACTCTTGAGCTCCTGTTTTAAAACACTCCTCTCTACATCTGGATTAGAGATTAGATAATGGGCTTTTGTTTCTATAAAAACGGTCTCTCCTAATCAGGCTCAGACCCTGTGTTAGTCCCAAATCCATTACCACCATGGCGCGTGTGCACAACGAAACCTGCTGATGGACTGGCTATCAGGGTTCCTACAAATAAGGAGTGGGGGAGCATTTATCACAATTAGCTCCTTGGTCTCTGGCTTAGGATGTACTAGCCCAGAAACTTGCAGAGAAGGCTAGATTTCCCCTAAGTACCATTAGGTTTCAAACACCAGTGCGCATGCCCTATTCTGGGAAGAGAGTAAAGGGTGTGAGAGGTTATGATGATGGTAAGTAATGGAAGAGATTTTAACGTTTGCTCTGGGGAAGAGCCTGAAATACTTTCCAGTCACTCCTTGTACAAATACTCCCACACCTAGAATGAGAAGATCTTTCCACTCGCAAATCTAGACTCTTGGGGTACACTATATAATCAGTGGCCCATCACTAACCACATATGCCTCCTATTTCTCTCCCCACAGTACTGTATTGCATTCAGTTATCTTTTTTTCAGTCATCCTCTCGTAACTTCATGTGATTTATGTCAAATGTATTATAAAGTAGACCTCTTGAGTTTTCTCTAATTCTAATGACTTTTTACATCAGTCCCCTATTTTCTGCTAAGATGCCCACCGCCACGACTATCCAGCACATAACTGAAATGAGACCTGTGCCATATATTTCATCTTGTCAACTCACAGATGATCACTTACCCAGGGTCACTCAGCTAATAAGGGATACACATGCACATTGGGGCTCAGACATGAGGACTATTTATTTGCCAGTATTCTCCCCCCTGTATTCTCTCTCTTTGTACTCCTGGATACTGTGTTGGGGCCTTTTTCCATTCCCGATCCAGCCAAATTCCTACTGATCGTTTCAGGTTCAGCTCAAGGGCCACCTCCTCCATGAATTTTCTTAGGTTTTCTCTGCTCTCTCTCCCACCTGGGTGGGATGCCTCTGGGGGGGCTTCATCCCTCCCTATTGTAGCTGAAATGTAATTGTCAGCTGACTCCTCCATCTCCCTTCCTAGGCTCTAGGCTCCCCCAGAGCAGGTAGGGTCTGGGTCTTGTCTTGGGATTCCCAGTACTAGCCCAGAGCATGGCGCATGGCACAGGCACAGCATATGCCTGCTCAATATTGGGTAGTGATCCCACTTCTCTTGAGATGGTCAAAGGCCTGGTGAATGACGTCATCTGACTTAGCAGGCGAGTCTTCTCATCATGAGCAATGCCACTTTCTCAGCTTTCCGTAAACTTGTTCTCTCTCACTAGGGTTACACTGGGACAAGTAGTTACCATTAGTTGAGGAACTGTCACTTCTCAGTCATTGAGATGTACGTTTTGTGCATGATATGCTGATCCTGACAACACTGCCAAGCAGACATCATCCTCATTTTATGGGTGAAGTTCAAAATCAGTTCTCCTAAGTAACTGGTCTACAGTCATAAAGAAAAAAGGCTTTGCTTTAAAAGCATGTATAAAATACTGTATTATGTACAGTCATCCCTGCCCTGAAGAGATTCATTAATATGTGAAATTACACACACACACACACACACACACAGACTTATTTAGAATCTAGTGTAGTGAAAGATGGTCATCTTGGACTTACAGAGGGTCAAGGCAGTTCTACCATATACATTATCCAGGACATCTCAAACCTATAGTCTTAATTTTATCACACAGATAGGGATTATAATACCTACTTAATCGTATCTCAAAGGGGGTTGAATACGCAGCTTTGTTAAGGAATATGGAGGGCATAGGCCCATCTTAGAGCACTATGATGGAAAAAGAGTGTTTTTCAAAGAGTGTAGAAGGACCCTGGACATCAGAGACACCTTTAACAGGAGATGGGAGAAACCAGGCTAGGAATCCATATTTAACAAGCCCTTAAATGATTCTATTGGACAGAAAAGTTTGATAAATACTGGGTTAAAACAATGCTTCTCAAACTTTAAAGTACATGTGAATCACTTGAGATCTTGTTAAACTGTAGACTCGAATTCAATGGGCCTGGTGGGTGAAGGCAGGTTGAGATTCTGTATGTCTAACAAGATCCCAGGAGACGCCAATGTTGCTGGTCTGTGGATCACATCTGCATGGCAGGGGTTTGGAAGATCTATCCCCACTAGAACAAATTAGCTTTGTTCCTGGACCACAGAGTGCACCCTCCCACAAAAAGCCCAAACGATCAGTCTTGGTATAAAATCCCTTGAACTACTCAAAACCAAATTGGACCGCCTTCCCTATCACAGGGAAAAGGCAGTAGCATCCTTTTTAGATACAGATAGCACAGTAGCATGTGAAAGAATAATGACTGCTACTACTTGAGTCATATTTACTGTGCAAAGCATTTTCTATATAGGTGAAAATTAGTAAATAGAAACATCATTTAAAATGGAGTCAGAGCTGGAAAGGATGTCACTCAATGCACACTGCTGACTCCAATAGAAGAGACATACCCTGCATCTCTGAAAAAAAGTGATATCACTTTACTACCTCAGCAGGAGGAAGAAAAGATTCCTCCCTGCCCAGCGACAGCTCAGCTAATGGGAGGTCGCCATAACTAAGCTAATGACAGCACTGTACAAACTTTCAGTTTCCTCCAATGGACTGTTTACAACAGCACCCCAGTCTATAAAAGAGCATTCCTCCCCTTTGTTTCTCTGCACTTGTGTGTGGTTTACCATTAGACCATATGTCCTAAATTGCAATTCTTCATTGTTTCTGAATCAACGCATTTTCCTGGAGCAATATCTGGCTATTTGTTAAAGGTCAATATATAGTATCTCTAATCCAACCACAACCCCACAAGGTGGATATTTTTACTCTGTAGATACAGAAATGATGTAGAGAGCTTAAGTAACTTGCCCAAAGTCATGGGCTAGTTAGCTGTTGCATTTGGAGTGCCAGTCCTGCGCCATTGGAATCCAATGCCTGTGTGCCCTCGGCACATCTTCCTTGGGGCTCGATATGGTTGTGATATAAAATGTGACAGCTTGGGGAAAAAAAATGAAGGGAAAAGTTTCTCCTGTATCAGTCTTTGAGTTTAAGGCTCTGCTGAGGCAAATTCTGGATGGGGGTGAGGATGGGAACATAGATCATTAATTAGTGACCTTTGTTGCCTAATGAACAAAAACATGCAGATAGCAAACTTGTCCATGGTTCTCATAACTCTGACAATGTGGATGGAGTGAAAAGGGCACTAGAGACCAGCACAATGACCCTAAATGTTGCCACCTATCCTTAGGTTTCTAGCTATGAGGCTCAACCAATAAAGAAGAAAACGTCGTCTTGATCCATGTGGCCTATTAATTTCCCCCGCCTTCTCCTGTATGAGGTTTCTGTAACTTTAAGGTTCATATCAACACAGGTTTATCTGCCATTTCATTTCACAGTTGCCACACCTCCCTGCCTCTGATAAAATTGTCTGCCCCTGAAAAACATGTACTGCTAATCAAATGCCTTGAAAATGCAGCAATACTTAAGTTTTTCTTTTGGGTAACAAAATTTTCTGTATTTTTCAAAGGGTTGGCATGGAGAGAAATGCATAGCAATAAAGATGCTCATAGAAAACAGTCAGCTAGATACTCAAGTGTACCAAAGGTAAGAAAGGCAGCTATGAAATAAGCTGCCCAGGCAGGTACCATTGAATATACTTAGCATTTGAGAACCTATGGGTGAAGTATCCACAGTTTTTTTAACCTCAGGTCTCTCCGCTATTGTAGTTTGTACTCAATAGCTTAACTGCTGTTTTTTAAAGATCTTTTATCTTTAACATAAACAGTACAACTATTTCCCTATGTAATACAAAAAAAATGTACTTAGAAAGCCACAGCTCCTGCAATTAAATATATACCATGGCGATCTAAAATCAGTGACATCTGAAGTATCAAAGATTATAAACTGATTTTGCCCCTATGGTTTTCACCACGCAAAATGTTTCTAAAAAGAAACTAGTCTGAAAATCCACTTAAAAGTATGTTTAGAACGTATGTGTTTTAAATAGAAGGTAAGAAACTGAGTCTGGAGCCACTAATTTCAAACTACTAAGCATTTATCTTAGTTCACTTCACAACCCCCAGGAACAGTTCAGATCTTAGAAAATCTAAACTAAAAGTCGACGGAAACGAATTTGAGAGTTTTCTGGACAGGCTTTACTGAAATGTTTAAACACGAACATGTTTGCAATGAGTCATAATTTATGGAACCTTAATGGCCAATGCCTTATATGCCTTTCTTCTTACATTCAATACTATTCTCACACGGGCGTGTGATATATTTTCCTGGCCCTGATCATTTTTATAAAGTTACCAAATCTCAGTTACTAAAGCAGCTGATTTTCTCGTGCTGATTTTTAAGGCTATCTAAACAGAAGAGAACCTGATTCCCCCTTTAAACTATACTTCTCCCGAACCAGGCAGTTAGTTAAATGCTTTTCACCAGCAAAAGAGTACAGTACTTTTAAGACCCCCAAATTGAAGCTGGGGGGCCTAGAGGGCACTCCAAGTAAAAAGGCAGTGGCAAAGGTTACTGGGACGTCGCGATGGGCAGAGGCAGACATAATAACAGGATATGTTCCGCTCTAGAGGAAGCAGGAGCTGCAATAGCCCCAGGTCAGGAAAGGCGGAGTCAGCAGCACCCAAAGGAAACGGGCGCGCCAGGGTTTGCAGGGACCTGGCCTGCTTAGGGACTCTTGCTCCAATCGGGTCCGAGGCTGGTGAACACCTCGCCCACAGAGGACCAAGCTCAGGCCTCCCGGCACTAATGGTTATAAAGAGGTATACCCATCTGCTCCATGCCACCTCCGCCAAAGATGGGCAATGGAATGAAAAGAAAAAGCAAACACCAAGCGCCGCGGCAGGTGAACTTGTCAACAAGTCAGC